GTTCTGCAACAGGCTATCAGCCGAGACCTAAGATCCATCACCGGCAAGTCGTTCACCAACAGTGCCGTTTCAGGAACAGGGTCCTTGTGAACACCCTCTGAGCATACCCGGAGATTGAACAATCCCTTGACTAGATTGCTAATTGGCCAGGGGCTGATTACATCAATCCTTAGAATACAGGGCAAGTTCTTGGAACCAGCGACACCGTTTAGGCCAACGTCCCCACCCTGGAAGTTGACAGAAAGCTTTTGCAGCAAGAAGCCAAGGCCACAACAAGATTAAGGTCCGACATGCTTAAGGCTAAACGCCGGGGATTTTCCCGGATTGGCCGTTGAGCCAGCTACTGGTCTGACTATCACACTATGAGGGGGTGTCTGAGAGTAAGACTAGCCAGGCCAAGAAGAGGGCCATGACCCGTGTCTCTCCCTCTACGCGCCTGCAAAATGAAGCCAAGGCGCCGCTGTAGCAGTGGCCCTTGGCAACCGGCGGATGGCCTGGCAATGCACTCCGCCAGGGTCCAGTTGACCCCGTTCTGTGGAGCGTGGATCGCGGCCGGATCGCATTAAGATGAAACGTTTGGCTTGGCAGGGCCCGCATCTCCTCCGCCGCTCAACCGGTATCCCATCACCAGTCCCCTGCCAGGGCCCTGCCAGGGCCCTGATATAAAACACTCTCTGCGAACCTGCTGTTCAATCTTCTCCCCAAGCATTCTTTTCATCAGCCAGGACAGCTGTACATTCTTTTTCTTACTTTCTTCTCTGCGAACTACGTTCCCTTCCTTTCTACCACACATTCACTCTTTAACCCTAACTTCAAATCACCTTCATTTCACTTACCACCATGAAGACTACCACCTACAGTTTGCTCGCTCTGGCAGCGGCTTCCAAGCTGGCCTCCGCCCACACCACCGTCCAGGCCGTCTGGATCAACGGCGAGGACCAGGGTCTCGGTAACACCGACGATGGCTACATCCGCTCTCCCCCCAGCAACAGCCCCGTCACCGACGTCACCTCCACCGACATGACCTGCAATGTCAACGGTGACCAGGCTGCCTCCAAGACCCTCTCCGTCAAGGCCGGTGACGTTGTCACCTTCGAGTGGCACCACAGCGACCGCTCTGCCTCCGACGACATCATCGCCTCCTCCCACAAGGGTCCCGTCCAGGTCTACATGGCCCCGACGGCCAAGGGCTCCAACGGCAACAACTGGGTCAAGATCGCTGAGGACGGATACCACAAGAGCTCTGATGAGTGGGCCACCGACATCCTGATCGCCAACAAGGGCAAGCACAACATCACCGTTCCCGACGTTCCCGCCGGTAACTACCTCTTCCGCCCTGAGATCATCGCCCTCCACGAGGGTAACCGCGAGGGTGGTGCCCAGTTCTACATGGAGTGTGTCCAGTTCAAGGTCACCTCCGATGGCTCCAACGAGCTTCCCTCCGGTGTCTCCATCCCCGGTGTCTACACCGCCACTGACCCCGGTATCCTCTTCGACATCTACAACTCCTTCGACAGCTACCCCATCCCCGGCCCGGATGTCTGGGATGGCTCCAGCTCTGGCTCCTCCAGCTCCGGATCCTCTTCCGCTGCTGTCTCCTCTGCTGCTGCTGCTGCTACCACCTCCTCTGCCGTCGCTGCCACCACCCCCGCCACCCAGGCTGCCGTTGAGGTCTCTTCCTCCTCTGCTGCTGCTGCTGCTGCTACCACCGAAGCTGCCGCTCCCGTCGTCAGCTCTGCTGCCCCCGTCCAGCAGGCCACCTCCGCTGTGACCAGCCAGGCCCAGGCCGCCCCCACTACCTTCGCCACCTCTTCCAAGAAGTCCTCCAAGACTGCCTGCAAGAACAAGACCAAGTCCAAGTCCAACGTTGCCGCTGCTACCTCCAGTGTTGTTGCCCCCGCTGCTACTTCTAGCGTCGTCCCCGCTGTCAGTGCCAGCGCTAGCGCTTCCGCCGGCGGTGTTGCTAAGCAGTACGAGCGCTGCGGTGGTATCAACCACACTGGCCCTACTACTTGCGAGAGCGGCTCTGTCTGCAAGAAGTGGAACCCTTACTACTACCAGTGCGTTGCATCTCAGTAAATCAAGCATTGATTTGCTGTGATTCGAAGCTTGGTTGGATCTAAGTTGAGTCGAGCTTGATATGGGGAGAGAAGAGATTTAGTTGTTGGGTGGATGTGAATGTAACCAGCAATTAGGTCTTAGTTTGAACAATAGAAACATTTTAATCAAAGCAAAAAGTAGATTGATTATTGGTTGTAGTACTAGGAAGTGATGTTGACGACTCACTTCGACCAGGAGTGGTTTTGACTTCTCACTCCGATTATTATTAACCAATCGATTTAGCAGATATAATGACTCGACACAGGACGGATCGCCATCGCTCAGAACGTAGTAAGTTAAACTCCAAACAGACACAGACACGGCAAACACCAAACAAAAGTAGCAATAATAGAAAGATCCCAAAATCATCATAAATAGAAGCAACACCATCACATACCCTCCTCACGGCTCTTCACCAAAAACGAACAAACACCCCAATAAACCTTCAAGAACTCATCCCGATCCTCCTCCTTCAGCAAATCATACTCTCTGGTTCCCTTCAAGACCAGCTTGTCCTTCAAACGTCTGCCTTGACGCAAATCTTCGAAGTAGGTATGTGGCACCTCGGCCCGAGTAACCCGGTACTTGGAGAGATTAGCCGTAATGCAGAAAGATACGTATGGATCGCGCTTCTGGCCCTGTTCGTATTTCACAGCCATGGGGAGGAGAAGGCATGAAAATAAGTTGTTACGGGCTTGTATCTTCGATAGGTCGTATGTGTCCTATATGATGTTGGTTATTAGTTTTTGTGTGCTGAATGGGTATGTGTGTTATAAGTAGGAGGAATGACATACCAAAAGCACGACTAAGGGGCATTGTCTCCATTTGTCGCTGGGGTCGAATATTCCGCCATCGCAGGGGAGAACACCCTTCATGTTTAATTTGGCGAGATTATATCGGATAGAATATTTGTCGATGATGCTGTTATGATTTGAACATTAGTTGCTGCTCTTCATTTGTTGTGGATGGTAATGACGCTTACAAGTTTGTCCTGAAGATGTCCATACGGAGACCGAGGATGCTCAAGGTGGAGTCGATGGTGGGTGGGACATCGTCACGGTACTTGTCCAAGTCGTGGATCCAGGATAGGGTGAGAAAGATGGTAAGGATATCATTCTTCCTTATCGGAGACTCGTGTGGTTTGTAGTAGTAGTCCAGGATATCTTGCTTGCTGGGGGCGATAAAATCTTCGTTCAACTTTGCGAAAGCTGTGCGGTCAGTTATGTTAGCTACTATCTAGTCAGTTGTCTTTGTTATATGTAGGATGGCATACATTTGAGAATCTTTTCGTCGGTGGGGAAAGACTTCCCAAGTAAGTCGATGGGAGTGACAATCTTTTCGGAGACACAGTTGAGAGCGTGCACTTGCTCAGTTGTCCAGTATTTGCCTCTTTGGTAGAAGAAGCTTCGTGGATATATTCTGTTGGTGGGTTGAATGGTAGTCTTCACTGCGGGTGCAGGAGTGGCTGGGAGATGAGCAGCAGATGACTGCGCAGTGGCAACTTGCATGCCGGGGTACTGCATAGTGTGATTTTGGTTGTGGATTTGTTCCACAAACGGAAAATATAAGGTGAGGGTAGAATATAGTGATAGGAGTTTGTCGAACATAGCAGAGTTGAAAGAAGTTGCTTGTGCTGAGCGTGTATAGTGGAGTCGGGATTCTTAGCAGACAGTTGCAGAGGAAGACAGCAGGGGCTTACGGCTGTGGGATTCCTGCGACTTATGTTCCCGCTGGCTGAGAGCTCTTCGGCTGTGTCGACGATGCCAGAATACCGTCATACACTTGGGAACATGCTTTGAGGAATGATTCACGTTATACAACACGTCGGAGCCCTGGACCATGGATAGCGCCCAGGGGGGCGCGGCGGTCCGTAGTTTCGAGGGACATGTTACGCTTGCAGCAGGATTTTATAGCTCTTTATACTCGAAATGTATCGTCTTTAGTTCTCGCATTTTACGGATTAAATGAAGGGAATTTCCGAATTAAACCGATGATAGTAAATTCAACAACCCGTCTCAAGGGGAATCATCGAACAAAGGGCATTAGTATATTGGCATGTATAGAAAGCCTCTTTGTTGGAATCTACAATGGTATTGTCCATGAAGCGTAATATAACATGGTACTATAGGATGAACGTTATGGCCTGTAAAGGTTTAGGGCTGAAGTATAGAGATGAACGGTGATTGGAGTGGCTTCTACTCAACCAGGGGACAGTAGTACCCAGCCTCAGAGATGGAAATATTAGCCATGCGCCACGTGGACGTCAGGTTCGGGGGGTCAATTCCGGAGCCTGCGTCATTATTCCAGCTACATTGCACAGAGCAACAAAATTAGCTAATGTTGATACTTTCATCCATTAGTCTGTAGGACGACAACACTATACATAGATACGGATAGATCAGTGGAGTGGTGACGGGTCTGATAGAGTGCAGGGATGGAGCTAACCGGGCTATTTCATTGACTTGGGCACATTCAAGGAGATTTTGATGTTAAAGGTGTATGCATGAGGATGGAAGCTGAGACAGCATAGAGTGTAAAGACTAAAATGACAAGGGCTTGGCTAACTATATATACAGGAGAACGAGCCTCTTTTACAGACGTAGGCGCGTCTCGTTGCGGCACCTGATCTTGTGTCTATTGACAAGAGGCATGAATGAATCGGCAAGTTCCACACTTGTGACGGGATGATGGGGGAAAGATATGCTAACTACTTATTAGAGGTACGGAAGTGATGACCAATGGTAGGGGGGTGGGAGATAGTTTAGCCAGTTTGCTAGTTAGTAGATGCGAAAGAACGGACTCAGCGGTCGCTTCACCAAGAAGAAATCCAAAACAAAAGATAAAAAAAGAACCATAAGGTAAACGCAGCGAGGCGGCAGTAGCAAAAAGACAAAAAGATGTGACAAGGGTGGGATTCGAACCCACGCCATCTTACGATGACCAGGAAGCTCGGAAGCTGACTGTTAAGGTGAACCTTAACCTGGCGCCTTGGACCGCTCGGCCACCTTGCCGTTGTTATGGTACTTGCTCTCAACTTTAATACATAAGGGCCGCAACCCATACAGTCACCATGACAAGCTCTGCCTCTGGAATAGCTGAGCTGAGTCGATTGTACTAAGCATGGTATAGATCTCTGGGTATTTATTTTCCATTTATAAGAGCAAAAGGTTTCCATCTTATCTGTTCTTTCGGCATTATGGACTGCTCCACAGCGTCAGATTGTATCGTATCCGAATTTTCTTTCCTCGGCATAACAAGTTCCCTTGCAGGTCATTCAGGATATATATTGCTCGTCATTACAGCTTCAACCAAGCCTGGTACTGAAAGACTCCAGCACATCGAAGTAAATATTCGTGATCATCTCATTAGTACTAAGAAAGCCCACCATTAAACATACACCATTAGAAATAGAAATTATCATTAATGAGAGCAAACCGCCATCATCGCATCCTCAAAATCCCCACCCGAAACATAACTCTTCACCAACGAGCGCATATTCCCTCCCATCGTTCCCTTGACCCTCGCGAAATACTCCGGATTCCAATGCAATCTGACAGTCCAATACACCAGCCTCTTCTCATTAGCCCCATTGGACCCAAAGAAACACTCCTTCAAAGTTGCACCATGGAATGAGATCGGATCCCTCGCTACCCGCAACATCGTAACCAGCGCATCCTCCAAATGCCCCGAAAACTCACTTCGAATGACCTTCTCAAGAGGGACATGATACATTCTCTCGAACTCTCCAGCCAACACATTCAGCCTCTCATCGGATGAGTTCATGAAGATACCGAAAAGAGCAACCTCGTCTGTCCCCACCTTTCCAGCGGTCACACGATGAAGTTCCCTCACGTCGGTGTCCACGCCGCGCGGATCGAAGGGAGTTCCCGGTTCGGGGCGTCTCGCGTTGAGCAGCATCTCGAAGAACCGCTCGGTCTTCCCGCTCAGTTCTCCCTTGATGTCATCGAGAAGCGACTTGTGGTACTTGTCCCGGTAGGCCCGCTGAATGGCATGCAGATCGGCATTGCTCCTTCCTAGAAGGACATCGTTTAATCCCTTTTCGTTCGTACCCAGCCCGCTCATCGCGTCGTGAAGGTACGTGATATCTGATTCCAATGGACCTGTGGCGAGCGAAACGAGGATGGTCTCGAACGATCCCGAGGTCTCGGATTTCAGGTCCTTGGTTAGGGATCGGTTGTGCATCTTTTCGTAGGTGTGACGGATAAGCGCCATTCGGTTAGGGTCGGTGGTGCTAGTCAGGACGCGAATGAGCGTTTTCTCGTCCGTTCCGAAGCCCTTCATGGCTTTGCGGAGAGCTTCGGCTTCGTTGGATGCTGTCCCTGGGGCGAGGAAGGTAGGGTCATAGCCGGGGGAGGGACGGGAGGGCATTGGGCCTTGTTGCGAGGGATAGTTGGGGTAGGGTCCACCTGCTCCTTGAGGCGCCATCATCGGTGGTGGCTGTTGGCCTGGAGGACCCGGAGGGAAGGATTGGTATTGCTGTTGCGGCGCATTCGGATAGCCTGGCTGAGGAGCATGCCCTTGTGGGTAGCCCTGCTGGACTGGAGGGCCTTGGTGCGAGTATCCCATGCCTTGCTGTGGTGGTGGGTATGAAGGATACGGACCCGGCTGCTGGGGATGTTGGCCACTCATGGGAGGTGGGTATGGAGAGGCACCTTGTGGTGGGTGTTGCTGCTGAGGAGGGTATGGTGATTGTGTTTGCTGTGGATGATGGCCGGCCATTGGAGGTGGGTATGAACCGTGCTGTTGAGGCGGCTGATGAGAGCTTTGACCTTGCTGGTAGGGGCCTGGACCCTGCGGGGGATATTGTGGATATTGTTGGTGCTGGCCATACTGTCCCTGCGGCGGCGGGTACTGTCCTGCAGGGGGATATTGATTATAGCCCTGCGGCGGACCCTGTCCGTAAGGTTGCTGATACGACATGGTTCCTCTTTCAAAGTAAGGTAAATTGAGGATGGAAACAGTGGTTAATGATGACGATGAAGTGAGATTGAGGAAGTGGGGGTGTGCGACGTTAAGTATCTGACTGCTAAAGCTTACAGACGGGCGCAGCCACAGGGACGGAAATGAAGAGCGACAGCACAGCCACTAAGGGACCAAGTGAATGGTTTGATTGGGCTGACCTGAGGGGCAGAGTTCACGAAGGAACGGTTCAAGTGGGGGTGAAGTGGCTGAGCGGAGTGAATATTTGCCTTAGAAGGCCCCAAGGACGGACAGTGGTAATTTCCTGATCGGGAAAGTCAGATGCCTGACAATTCGATGAGAGGTAAAGATCTCTGTGGCTAGTGAGGCTGAGAGCATGCAGGATGCTACTTAATTTCGGAAGAACGAGCCTTGCTGTACAGAAATGATCCGAAAGTCTCCTATCTTATCAATCACATATCGCGAAGAACCGTTATCAGCCATAGACACCTAGTATACATTTGTTTTACATAGCTATACACCAAGAACGTGAATGTACATCACACGGAGAAAATAGCAAAATAATAATAATAATAATACATTGGGTATATCTGCCTACGAACCATGATGCCCATGCTCATGCTCGCGCTCACTCATATGTCCCAGCCCCGCCCTCTGCAACTCGTGCCACTTCTGGATCACCGCAGATCGTTCTTGCGTTGTAGCCGCACACATCTCCTCAATACCCTGCTGCATACGCGAAGCTAGTATATCTTTCGTCTTGCTCTTCGAGAGCGAGTTGCGGAGACTCTTGTGCATCCCTTCTAGTGGGTAGCCTGCCAAACCCCAGAGGCCTAAGTAGGTTTCAGTTAGCTCTGACATCGCCAAGTTTGTCGGGGAGAAACTCACCAGCAGTGGGTTTGAAAAAGACACCACCTATGCCCTTCCCAATACCCGTCAGCAATCCCCTTGCACCGGACTTTTCTATCCCGACCACAGGTTGTGTGACGAGTCCGGTAATGCCGTTGTAGAATCCATGCGTGAATTCCTATATTCATCAGCAACCTCCTCTCATTTCTCGCAGGAACCGAGAGAACATACCGTTCCAGCAGCGCGGAACCCGCTCCTCACTCCAAGCACTCGTGGCGAATCCTCCACCAAGGTATCATGATACAGTTTGGGGGCATTGTGAAACCCCTTCGTCAGACTCAAAGTCAGATCCGTAGGCAATTTAATAAGCCAGTTCGCAACATGCTTTGTCGCACGGGCGCTATGATACGACGTCTCAGCTAGGATCTCCTTTGTATGAGACATTTCCCTCGTTCGCAAACGAGTAATGGTTCGCTCGAGATCAAGCTCTGCGCCCATATCATCATCCGTTGTGTCGAACGTCTCGGTGTCAGAGCTGCTTGTGTGCGGGCTGGATGATTCATCACCACCGCTGGGGCTGTTGGTGGCTCCGTCTCCATTTTGCTGTCGGTCGGGAATAGCCTGATCTCGGTTGATATCTTCCCCAGCGGAATGATAGGCTTCGTCGGATTCGATTGAACCTCGAGGGTTCTCGTTGAAGGAGGGTTGCTCGCGCTCACCATTCTCAAATTGGTTCTGATCCGCCGATACTGAACGTTGGTTGTCACCATTGGGGATCACATCAGCCCCGACACCCGAATCGAGAGACGTCTCTGTTCGCCCACGGCGGTGCCGGTGAGAGGACGATTTATCGAGATAGGAAGGATGAAGCCCTTTCTTCCAATCATGTTTGTGATGGAGTCGACGTTCATGTGTTGTCGAGAATATGCCTCGCATTCCGCTAGGCGCCTCCGCGATGCTGGTGACGAAACCCGAGACGATGCCATAGAGAACCTCTGCCCCGGCTGACAATGGTCCCCTAGGATCTCGATTGGTGTCGTATTCGCGTGAACGATATCTGTATTGCTCCGTTAGCCACGTACCCCGGATGCACAAGAGATAAACTACACAGAACATACAGGACAACATTCCGTGGACTAATCAAACCAGTCTCCACCAACACCGCCGCAGCAAATGTGCTCAGCTTGATATGCGAATGCTTCACCCACCATACAGCCGGCCGATTTGGACAGAGAGAGCACCGCATAGTCTGCACATCCAGGTGTTGATAAAAGCTAGCAGCGGCATTTTGCACCCCCCGCTCCTTACGCATATCTCTTCCTATTTCTTTCGCCTTTTCTAACGTCTCTGGCTCGAGAGCCTGTTTGATCGCTTTCGTTAGCTTCTCCGCCGTTAGCTGCTTATGCGGGATAGGCAGCGGGCCAGCGCCAGCGCGAGCCACGATCGAGCCCCAGAACGGCTGATCGCCAAAAAACGGGATGATGATGGTCGGACGACCCAGTACTAGCCCGGCGGCTGTGGTGCCCGCTCCTCCGTGATGGATAACGCAGGACACGTGCTGGAAGAGCCAGTCGTGTGGACATTTGTCGATCATGAAGATGTTCTCTGGGATTTCGTCTTCGTCTGCTCCGAGGTTACCCCATCCTTTGGAGACAACCGCCCGTTGCCCGCTGTCGCGGATGGCTTGGAAGACTTTCTTCGTTAGTGAGCCCGGGTTGTCTACGACGATGGAGCCAAAGCCGACGTAAATCGGAGGAGGGCCGGATTCGAGGAAGTTGGCTAGATCGTCGGGGGGTGTGTAGTCTGAGGCGGTAGACAGGAATGAGAAGCCGGTAATGTCTATATTGTCTCCCCAGTCTCCGGGTTTGGGGAGGAGGGCTGGTGACCAGAGATAAGTGTATGGAATGCGCAATCGGTGTGCGATACTCGGTGCCCGAATAGCGTCTAAAGGGTCCAGCCCGAGATCGCGCTTTCGGAAAGAATTGATTAGATCTCCCAGGCCCTCCCACATGAGGATCTCAACAATGGCATACGAAGCAAAATTAGCGGCGGAGGGCTTCGTGTTCTTTGTGCGGATAGTCGCCAGCGGATGAGGAAAAGACTGTGTTGCCGACCAGGGCATTCTACACCCTTTTGATCAGCTCATCCGATCACCATGTATATTGAAAGGGGATACGCACGTAAACATCATATTCAATGGAATACCCAGCTTCTCAGCACAGCTCAAATGCACAAAAGTCGGCGGATTCGCAATAATAGCATCCGCCACGAACGGCATCGTACGATAATCCGCCGTCTCACTCCACGGATCGTCCGGAATATGATGCATTCCAGTCCCATCGCCCGTCTCATAGCACGAGCGCCAACATCCCGAGAAGATGGCCTTCATTTCGCGTCTCCGGCGCGGGATAGCTCCACTACGCAAGGTACTCATATGCGGCATCAAGCCCGGATTCCGCACCATAAACGCCATCAACTCGGCCGGATCACCGCCGATATCGAAGAACTCGAGACCCGCATGCTCAATCGATTCACGAAAGGCGAGATGGGTGGCGAGACGAACGCGGTGACCGTGGGATTTGAGGACTTTGCCCAGCGCAAGGAAGGGTTGAACGTCGCCGCGGGAGCCGACGACTTGGATGACAATGTTGAGTTTTAGGGCGCAGGGGGGTTTCCCGTCTTCGATGAGGCAGACAGATGGTTTGCGCTCTTCGCGGAGCGGTTCGGGTTGCTGTTGGAGGTGTTTGATGATTTTTGATACCCAGGGTTTGCGTTCGCGGATCTTGATGTCCAGGCGGCCATTGTCTAGTGGAATTCATGATAGTTAGTAGCTGGGATTGAGGGAAGTGTGAGTTTAGAGGGATAGAGAATGTGCGCACCCATTACCCGGACTCCAGTGTTGAGTCCCCTCTCACGATAATGCGCACGCCGAGGAGTCCGCCCATGACCGGTGCTGTTGGTGGTTTGTCGGGCGAACTGCTCTTCGGGCCAGTCGTCGGCCGTTGGGCCATCTTGATGCGGCATCTCTGCTGGCAGAGATAGACCGAGTCGACCATGTGCGGCCAATAGGAGATGTTGAGACTTTCGTTGATGTATTCAGGAACAATTGGTGAGGAACTGAATAAATGCGGAAAGAGAGAACAGCCACAAGCACAAAACACTGAGCAAAAAGTGTGAACAGTTGAGGTCAAAAGGAACCCTGGCGAAGGCCCGGCTGGTGACGCCATAGTCGAAATGCTTCATGGCAGAGCAATGAGGGAGACCCACGGATGATCGCATGGGCGAACCAGTGGAGCTGCCCTTTTCAGGGTTCAAGCTGCCTTTGTCCCTCCCAGGAAATTGGCCTAGGCTAGGCTCTTGCGTCTTTTCTGAGGCTCGTCCTTTATGCTCAACGTACACCGAGTAGTCTGCCCATTCCGAAGCTATTCGGATTAGCCACGACTGACTAAAAACATGCTACTGCTTAGAGATCTTCCACTAAACCATGACTTCATCCTCCCCTGGGATCACCACCTTATCGCTGACGATCGACGGCACCGTTCGGGGCCCCTCCACCCTCATCCGCCGCGGTCCGAAACGGCGAATATCCCACAGTGGACATTCGGCATTCCCAGACACTCTTTAGATTCCATGGAAAGATCAAGTCCATTTAAAATGATGGAAAATACAGGATATACCTATTTGAAATCATTTCATAAGATCTCTAAATTCTTGATAATCTATGCCGCCACTATTCATGCACCCGATCGGAGCAACCGCTAGTTCTTCAATCGCCGATCATCGCCATCCCGATCCTCCAGTGCTTTGGCAATAAGCCCGACCCGGTCGGCCATCAGAATATTGATGCCAGCATCGACTTGGAGCTACGTAGGTAGCGTTAGTATAATTTCGAATTACTTCCCGGGTTTAATAACTCACTTGTGCATTCTCCGGGATATTATTGAGTGGTCCATACGAGCCACACACGAGCCCCGACCGCTGGACGTATCCGATCAGCCGAGGGCATATGATCAATGCCTCGGTGGCCAGAACAATTCCATTGAGGCCCCACTGCTGGGCAAACCGCACTGCAGCTTGCAGGCTGCCGGCTCGCTTCTCTCTGTCTGTTATTGGGGGTTTTCCGGCGTTGGTGATGTACATGACAGGGTAGGTCTGCTGTTTGAATGCCAAGAGAATGCAGATCTCGGGCGTGAACGAGGACAGGATAATGTTTCTGCTGTGCCCCAGAGTGAATACTTTCTCGAGGATTTTATCCACGAATATGTTGATTTCGATCGCTACTGGGGCTACTCCTGCTTCGGTGGCTTCGTGGAGTCGGGGGTATTCTGGATCATTGTCAGCAATGTTCTCTGAGATGAGACCTGGGGACAACTCACTGATTTCGATGTTGAAACCAAGGTTCTCCGGTAGCTGGGTTAGTAGCTCTTCGATGGTTGCAAACGAGTCCTGAATAACGTGGCCTCGGGTGTTGGGCTTGAAACCTTTGCTCATGTAGTCTACCGTGTGCCTCATCCTCTCTTGCATTTGTTGCGCTCCTTGCTCGTAGCCCCTGGTAAGAGACCGGGAGCGTGTATTCTTATGGTGGGCTCTGCTTCCCAAGATGGACGTTCGATGCCCCATCGGGGATTGTATCTTGCTCGCATGCAGGAACTATAAAGTTAGATGAATTCCATGTAGTGCGTAGTAAAATCCTGCTAACCTGGTCTAGAGTCACATCATGCACTGGGACGTCAGTCCCAGACTCGCTCAAGGAAAAGTCGTGGTATGCAACAGGTACAAGGTCTCTGGTCAATTGAGCATCTGAAGTACATTAGTACATGATGATAATTAAAACTTTAGACAGCCAATAACATACCGAACTATATCACGTTAGACCAGTAAATTAGGATAGAGAAGTTCCACATTACCTCGACAAAAGAAGCCCCCAGACTGGCAGCTGATAGGAATGACTGGGTACAGTGAGCATATATCTTGATTAGATGAACTGAAACTCACCTCGACTGTGTTCTCTCCCAACTGTAAGTAGTCATGCCCGGCAACATTCTGTCCGAAGCCTGTACTTTGTCAGCGGCGATCGCAAATACACCTCATCCTGCATGCTTACCTCGATGTCCTACGAGACAGAAGTCGTCATGACGGAGAAAGCATTCTCTCACAGAGGGGATGTTGGGATGCTGAAATGGCTTGATGATAAGAAATGTGAAGGTCACCGTAGCTATAGCTTGGAATGACCTGCCCTCGAGAATGGGAACAGTTCTCTCGCGCACCAAACTTTCTCGGTTCTCACCAAAGATATTGAGATCGTCCATCAGCAACGCTGTACTACCACCAAGCACCCGTGCTTGACCGTCATGATCATCCTCTAAATTGAGGAGCTCTAGGCGCAGTTTTGCCTCGTCCGTACTTGGAAGCTCGAAGATGAATGATTCATTAGCTGTGTCACCGAGCAAGGACAAGTTAATCTGACGGGCAGCGTCATTCCCAGGAGAAGAAAATTTTAGTGCAAGGTCATAACTTGTGGCTTTTCTTCTAAGTGATGGCGTTTGAAGCTCGAAAGGGTTGACTTGCTTTCCATCCTGCAGGCTACCAAGGTAGACCACCAGTTGCGACCGTTGATGTAGAGCCTTAAAATTGTAAACCCGCTGCATCAATGATGCGGCAATTAATTCATTGGTGCCTGCCTCCCACTTGGACGGCACAGCTATTCCTTTTGCTAAGGCAAGATGTCCCCGAACAGCGGCATGCTCCTGTGCTGTCCAGCCGCGGTGGTCCTTGAGGCCCCGGTCGGCTCCATGCTCGAGAAGCACATCGACAACACTCTGGTGACCTTCTACACAGGCGACAATTAGCGGGGTCCAACCATACATTGGCTCCACTGAGTTCACCTCAGCGATGCATATGGTTTCCAACAGTTGAGCGACGTGATCTGCCCTTCCGGTACGCGCGGCGATATGCAGCGGACCGGCCCCTTCACAGGTCCTAGGCGTCTGACAGAAGCGAGGGCAAGCCCGCGAGATGATCGAGAGCAAATCGTCATATGCGTAGTACAAAGCAGTAAATAGCATTCGATTGAAAAATGGTGCTATTCCGTCGTCATTATAGGATGCACCCAATACTTTTTCCAAGTAGACCAGAATAGATGAAACGGCGTCTCGATGGTTGCCAACAACCGCATACCTCAAAGGTGAACAGCCTTGATTGTCAGTATGCATAATCAGACGCCATTTGGAAGCCTTGTTCCAGCTTTTAGCGACATTAAATATTGCCACGCACTCCCACAAAAGACCGTATGAAGCGGCATAGTGCAGAGGGAAGCGCCCGAGAGTATCTTCTGAGAGCAGAACCTCCTCTGATCTGGGTCCTAGCTCCCCAATCACCTGGCAGAGCAGATCTCGGATTTTACAAAAGAGTATACAGGAATACGGCGCCGATAGTTGCATCTTCCGGAAACCCAGAACCGTGAACAAGCGATTCAATAATGCAGCCTGAATGGGAATATCGTTTTGAGGCAGCACATCAAAAAGTAAAGTGTAGACAGTATTGGGTCGCAGTTCATATACCGCTAGCTCCAGCAGATGGAAGAGAAATGGTTTCGCTGATGATTTGCTCTGCTGTAAGGACTCATCTACCATAGAAACCACGATTGAAGGTTGATCTTGCCGGAGTGCCTCATAAAGTGGGCATTGTGGGTAGACCGGCCTGCTGCTGGGATCTGAAAGTGCCTCCTGTAGATGAGCAATCCATAATCCAAGGTTTCGAGCCAGAGCTTTCCTCGATGGATTCTGTTCCTTGAATGTGTCCAGATCATTTCGTCCAGCAGATCGGTTTTTCTCCCTACCCAGATATTTATCAATCTTTGTGTGGATACGAGAAACCGCTTCAACGTCCAACCGTTGGTATCGCTGCAGTTGAGAAATTTCCTTAGTTAACCTAGAAAGCGATTGACAAAGGATCTCAATGTCAAGCCGGGAAAGCTTGTACGCCGTAGTTGTATCGAAGTTGAAAAGGCTTATGCGGTAATGGCCCTGTATCTCTTCTGCTTGCTTTCGAAGATAGCTTTCTTGCTCTTTGCGAAACTGAAGATGACCCGCGATGCCCAGGTCTAGGCATGATTGCACATCTATTAAAAGGTAAGACATGTATAAAGCTAAGACACATAATCATCAAAATTTTGAGTTTCTTTCAAGTAACGAACCTGAGAAGTCGGGACGAGTTTGCTCCTCTGTAGCTTTCTCAACAGCGATCTTCAGCAGTCTCTTGAGCCGATTGTATGGAACATGATGCTCCGCCCATTCTGGGACTTGATGAAGGTGAATATTTCGACCGAACCTCATGTTGCAAATTTAGGCGGAATCACCCAAGAATTGAATGAGGGAGAGTAAGAGAGAGTTGCGATGTGTTGTACGGGAGTCTCACAACTGAGGGGCAGACCGAAGTACAGGCGCGCGAAGGTAAGAGACAACAAACGGTTGTGAAAAGGGGGGTAACAAAGGAAGGAAAGTTAAAAAGAGAATGAAGCAGCGATACTCTTGTAGGCCAAAGCCTTGTGCTACATGACCTCTCTTGGCTTTTCGAACCGCATCCTTCTTGGTGTCTTCGCGGATTTTTACGTAGCTTGCATCATTGCTTGATAAAAGGTAGGTCAGTACCCTAACATCCTTTGCGCTATCTTGGCTTGATACTTTTTGGGATGTTGGTGATATAACTTTCGGAGGAAGCCGAGGAGGAACACACGCTTCATCCCCGTAGTTGTGGTATTCTCGGCACCAGATGGCAAAAAACATACAGAACAGTAGCTGTCAGAGATATAGGCACCGAGAAGAGTAGCCGACCATCGCGCTATTCACGGGATCAGCCGATAATCCGTAGTCGGGGTGACTGCGGGCAGATGGGAGATCTTGACTGGAGTGGCCGTGGTAGCCAAGGCTCGTATACTGCTAGCCACTCTACGAGAATGGCGCGAATATCCGCGTTTGACTGAAGCTTAATCCGGAACAGACTTAGAAGTGGGAAGGCTTCCCCAAACGCAAATACTGTAATTCATTTTTTGAACCTAAATTTGTACCACTTGGCTTCTCATAATGTGATCCGAAAGGATGGAGGACAAGAAGTGCTATCAGCACTGCTACAGCAGTCTGCCACCCCAGCCTCTCACTCGAGCAGAATCCACCAGAAAAGGCGCAGACTCTTGTTGCTCATAATAGAGATTCCTTAGCAACTCAAGCCCAGCTAGCGTTGTGGTACAACTACGTTACTCAATATTACCCGACTGGAGTTGACGATTGGATTGTCGAGCCGCTGTGATACCGGCCAAGTTCGGTTTTGAACCCAATCTGCTAGAGCGGGATTAATGAACTCCGCTACCAGTAAACATCAGATGAACGGTACTTTTGTTCTCTACCACTAATGTCATGGGCTCCAATGTTAGACTCCTTTCCCGGAATTTCTGCGGCCTCTGCTCACTCCGCTGGCGGCTCATCCTTCGGTCGGCTGCCAACCATGGATCCACTATCGATCAGTTCCAGCGTTATTGCGATTGCAACATTAGCCGCTCAAGTCTGTTCCAAGTTGTCGGAACTACGATCTTTGTACAAGTGTCTTCCTGGTAGGCTGCACGCTGTCAACAATGAGGTTGCTGATCTGGAAGTAGTCCTCCTGGAAGTTGCCTTTGTGGTGAAAAAGCGGCAGACCTTCCTAGAGAAGGAAATATCCTCCATTCCCCACCTCTTGAAGCAGGCAAATACCAAGCTGAATGAGCTGAAGGCTATTGTTTGCAAACTCACTGCTGTCTGTCGTGCGGGGCGAGTGCCCTTATCTTTGGTTCTTTCCTGGCGGAAGGAGGAGCAGACCAAGTTACAGGTGCTGCAAGATGATCTTCGAACGATCAAGAGCAGCTTAAATATCATGCTCGGGGCTTCAAACTCGTCAGTATCCTAACATGGGATTGTCTTACATTGTGGGTTATCGCCGAAGCTGACCTCGAATGCTAGGCATGATATGATGAAAATCCGTCTGGAAATCGAGTCGTTTTCTACAATAACAGCACATTCAATGCAGCAGCAACAGGTTGAGTTGCAAAACCATTTTAGCGGCGCTCTTGTGGCAGTTAACGAGCGCATAGCAAGGGTAGAAGAGATGCTTCGCGAGCAGGCCGTTCAAGTTAGTGAAAGCCAAACCATCCAGGTGGGCTCGTCGTACATTGCATCTCAACCTCGTCGAAGGCTGCCAGGGATATCTAAACCCACCGTGCTACCCGCTTCCCCGCGCTCGGAGGGTATCGGTGTGAGAGTCGCACCATTCATCGTTACCTGCGGACCAAAGTGCATCTGCGCATGCCATCGTGAGAAGAAGTCAGCGACGCCTGCATTCCTTGACCGGGTTGTTGGACGGCTTTTTGTCGGATACTCTGGAGTTCCCGCCTTTAGTCCGAGATGTACTCTCGATACCTGCCAAAAGTCACGAGCAAGTCAAGTCAGCCTGGAGTACTGGTTCCCGATCGGCTTCTGGTCGTCCACAATTGTTAGAATGCAGGTGGGCTATCAGCCTAATGTTGGATCACTGTTGCAGTTGGATACGTTGAGACGAGTACCGGACAGCGCGCAGTGCGTGAACTTTGCTCTCAACGGGGATATTGAGGGCCTAAAATATCTCTTTACTCATGGGCTCGCCTCTCCGCGGGACATAAGTTCTACTCGAGGATATTCCGTCCTTCGATGGGCGCTGTACGGAAAACAATATGAGACTTGTGAGTTCCTTATTCATGCTGGCGCAGACCCAGACTACAGACCCATCGCCGCAAGCGACAATAGCCCGAAAAACAAAGCTTGCCATTTCCTTCTTGAAGGGGGGTTGCCAGATAATGCCGTCAAGGCTCTTCGCACGATAACAAAAGGCGGATATTTAGATGAGTTCATAGAGAACTCCAATTTTACCCAGACTCACAAGATTATCCTAGACATATCCCTGAACAACCTGGAGGAGGAGATTATTCAACATCCTGAGGATATCAACGCTGTTGATGCAATGGGCCGGACTCCACTAGCTTGGGCAGCGGCAAGAGGGGACACTCGAGCGATCGTCACTCTGCTAAGTCAGGGAGCTGACCCCAATATCATGGATGTGCAACTTTCAGGCCCCTTATCAAATGCAGCGGCTCAAGGCCATACTGTCAGTGTTCGCCTTCTCCTGGAAGCCGGTGCATATCCCGATACCGCCAAGTTCACCGGAGTGAAAAAAGGGAGCCCTCTCAACTGTGCCGCACGGAATTCTCGAAGTGTCGTATTGCTCAAGAGCCTCTTGGACTTTGGAGCAGAGGTAGATTCCTCTGGAACAGATGGCAAAACTGCCCTCCTCCAAGCGGCACGTATCAACAATCCCAGTTTTGCTATGCTTCTGCTGGAATATGGAGCTGATATCAACGCCACTGCTGTCGATGACTCGACCCCTCTTACGACTGCAATCACCTATAACAGCCACAATGTCCTGCGGCTGATCCTTGATCGTTGGCATGAGTACTCGGCTTGTCCCCGCCTCAAGGGACCGAATCTTTTGCAGATTGTCGCGCTGTATGCTGATTTGGAGACCATTAACATCCTCGCGGGAACTGACCATTTCCGGGCGAAGTATGACAATCAATATGCCAATGGGGATTTCTCTGATCACCTGCGTCAGCGGCCCGATTTCACGGAAAAGCTGGCGGTTGCGTTCGATGAGCTGCTGAACATCATTAATCAGCGACCAGCGGTGGATGAGTCGCTGGACAGTCTGATGGAGGCTGGATTTTTCTCTTGTTTACCTTCCCGAGTCAACTCGCGACAGGAAGATATGCTCCAAGAGCCCGGCAGTCCTGCCAGCTCGGATGGGAGCTTTGCAGATGCATTGGACTACCTGTCTATATCTTCAGATAGCCAGTCGAAGGCATGAAGGGTACTTCGTCAAGGATATCCGTCATTGGTTATTGGTTCGTCGGTTACGTTGTAGTCCATTTGTGATACCTGGATATTATGTATAATGGTAGAAGCTTCAGTCATCATCTGATTCACCGAAGAAGGTCATAAGTCATAGATTGCAATTTTGGGATTGGTGGAGCAAGCAGGTGCTTCTAAGGAACCGTTGAAACAGGTTTAGTTATGGAGGTCTTACATGATAATATCTAGTCTACTAAGCTTCGTCTCTGATTCCCGCAAAGGGCTGCCATGGATCAGACCAGATAGATAGTCTGCGGCTCACAATCATCGAAGACCGGGGTAAGACCAAAATCATAGAAATGTTCATAGAAGCCAATCCGCTTGAACTCCATTCTCGTCTGATTCGGACACTTCAGCAGCACCAACCCGGCAGACTGGACCCCATCTTCGTACCTTACAGGCTCCGACCATACTTTTCCATCACCTCTCGATACGATCATCAGGTAGACTTCCTGTTCGTCAAGATAGCACCCTGCATGATCCAGGAATATAGTCTCACTATGACTCCCTTTAGTACCGTCAGCCACATGGACATATCGCAATTGAAACTTTTTATTTTCCTCCTCGGGATCACGGTTCTTCAGACCGGGGAAAGCCCACAGCATGCCTTCTGGTATTGGCTGAAAGCGAGCCTCCATACGGGCCGCTCTAATTTTTGCTCTGAGCTTCACGTACCCCCGGTCACCTTGGTCGACTGCCAGTTGCCCATAACTGTCTCCCGCGTACTGCGGGATTATATCGTGACCGAGAACCTCAATTTCCGGTCTCGGATTATAGAGATTACTTGCAAGAAACTCAACCGCCCCATCATTGGCACACCACGACCATGTCGGCGCCCGATAATTTTTCGTTGGGATCATTGGCCGACGTTCTCTTTCCCCGAACCATCGATCCATCCCGGGACTCATCGCGTTACGGGTGGCCCAAAGAAGTCCCGAGGCCAGATCCTGGACCCATAATCCGACAAGGTACTCATCATTTAAAGCCAAAGCGTGAGTGCGCGCGATGCCGGCAACCGCGGGTAACTTGTCGCTTTGGACGGTCAGATCGCGACAGGTGTAGTCTTCCACGATTTTGTACCAGGCATTGTATAATTCGGTTTTGTCGGGACCTTCTGCGCCCGTCGAAGATGATGTTCCGCCGATCTCTAGTTTATCTAGTGACTTGTGGCGTCGGGGCCGTTTGGCCAGATCGACATCGCGCCCATAATCTTTTGGTGAGGGGCAGGTAAATAAACCTAGACCGAGCATATCAGTCACTCCGATGTAGAGTTTTCGTGGTGATAGGAGTCGTTCCTGCAGGGTCCAGCCGCGGGTGTTCCATACTGACGAGTCCAGTTCGTCTTCGGCGGCTAGGTAGGGGTTCCAGAAAAGGTGATCCAGTTCGCCTGTGTAAGGTGAGGGTTCGATGAAGAACGAGCCGTGGATTCCAGGGTGGTTATCGATGGAGTATGTAATGGGTACCAGAGATTTAGATCCGCATACAGGTCGATCAAAGACATTCTGAAGGGGTGTATCCGTGGCAGTCAAGTAAATTGTCAGGTATGATGACATATAGATGCTGTGCATTTTGGTCGACTCCGAGGCCCAATCGCGTCGGGACTGGTCCTGTTGGATCTCAAGAAGACCCTTCTCCTTGGTTCTCGTTTCCTTCTGGATGATGCAGAGGCTGTCAATCCATAAATAGGAAATGCCCAATGCGCAGCATATGTCAACCACGTCTCTGAAACCAGGCGGTAGAGTCGCTGTGGGGTCATCTGCCGAGAATGGCGATAGTGGGATATCCTGGTAATGCGCTTGGAGGTTGCTGGGAGTTGTGGCGAGAAACTCGTCGGAGCCCCAGCGGTAGCTGAGTGCAGCATACTTTGGTACATTAGAGGCATCTTGACAGTTTGAACCATGACTATTCAGATCTTTGGTTTCCACTAAGCGTAGCTTTTTCCCTTCCTGGTCTTGAGTGATTTCAATAAGCCGGAGAGGCAACCTGTCGTCTATGGACTCCCCATGGTGGATAACGCTGGAGGCATGATTATGGTGCTGGTCGCATTCAGTCAAATGGTCTCGGATTGTCTTTGTGTTTTCAGTGGATAGCCTGTCTTGATCGGGATGAGGATATGCGATGCCTAGATAGCGTGCAAGGGGGTCATCTAATCGCAGTTAGCATACAGACTATCCCAGTTGGAAGCCCATATACTTCAGACCATGGTAAGAAAAAATGACGATAGCCTACCAGAATGTGCACGTAGCTTGAAATAAATTAGACCATCGGGCCCAGTCATGTCGCCCGCAAATCGATCCTGTCCTGGTCTGAGAAGATCCCATTCAATTATAATTGCAGCGAATTTACTTCTCTCGTCGTTCGAGACTCTGAATTCCGCCATCAGTGAAACCTTGACCACCTTGACTTTGGAGTATTTCTGATCGTGCTCTTCCGGGGCCCAGCTGCGAAGACGACGTTCGCTAATGCCATTCAGTAGCGATTTCCGGAGCGCTGGACAGAATAGGCATCCTGCCTCGCCTGACGCTCTAAGAGCCGGTAATTCGGGGAGGTCATCACGACAGTCGAATTCGATAGGAATGGAATGTTGCCCAGCTGGGAATTGCAAATGGGGTCCGCTGGATTCTGATCCAACCTCGGTGAAGCCATATCGAGCGAGGGACTCGGCGCTAAAGTAAAGAACTTCGCATCTTTTGCAAAGGGTGGATGGCATCTTCCCTAGGAGGAAATTGGCACCTGACTTGGTTTAAAAGGATTGACGTGAAAAACATCGTGAACGACGTTCGTTTTCTGCACCAGATGAGGAGAGGTGGGGTAAATCGATATTTAGTCTCCGAAAGACGATTTCGACAATGATCTACTCTTTAGGGAAGACACGTGGCAGGCGTGTATGGCAGCAGATGGACTGATGCAGTTTGTTGCCTTCGATTCAATCTTGGTGTATCTGAGGCTCGGCAAACAGACAGACATGTGGAGTTATCTTGTGTTGCGTGTGAAATAGACATCTGCTATCAATGCAGATGTGCATAATGTGGTGGTGCATTACACATATTAATAATCGTATATATTCATGACACTTTATGCTATAATGTTTCAAATCGCCGGGTGACTGCGCCATTCTCGTGCACTGTCCAACTGCACCCGAGCATGACAATCCCATTCCCAGTATATCTGCCAAGCCACTGTGGCAGAGATTATTAACTCTCGTAAAGTCGTAATAGTGGAATGGTGGGTGATAAGTTAGTGCCATAAATAGCACAGTTGACGGAGAATTTCCTGTAGTCTAGTGCTTACCTTGTTATCCCTGCTAGCAAGCATCCCGACCGGACTTGCAAGAACAGAGTTTGCTTCCACTTTGACGAAAGGCTAAATACGACGTACGCCTCTAAGTCTAAGAGCCCCCAATTTGTGCTCGTTCGTTGAAAATGCTCGGAATTCACTCCACTAAATACTGATAGGCCACTTAGTCGAATAAAACTCCGGAACGCTGGATCTGCCTGAGCAGCGATCGGCAAAAATCTCATCGAGCCTACGAAAAAGTTGTCAAAAGGAGCCTGGCACGTGAGTAATCGAAGCCCAAAACGAGCCTTGCGAATCGACTAATGTAGATAACCATTGGTTAAGCTCCACTAAATCGGTGGGCCCAGAGAGGCTTAGCCAGGAAAAAGCATGTTTAGCTTCTTTTCGATAGGGTCTGTCTGCCTGGCCGGACCCCCCGATCCATGCCCGGCCGACCCGACAATCAACGGAACTCAGGGGACCTCTCGAGGGGTTCAGCCCTACTAGGCCCATTGTTCACCCACTTGACTTGCAACTCATTAGCAATGATCTTTGGTTTTTTTTGCCAGTGGTCTCATGTACCCCTTATTTCCTGGCCCCCGATAAGCGGCGTCCGGCTTGATCCTAAACTGGGATCCACGTATGCACCGGGGCCAAACGTTCCTCCTCCTAGTCGCTGATGTATTAATTTAAACACCACTTTAAAAACATGTCATCCCCCCCGGTCATGACGCGAGGCCCATCAGGTTCCGGCCTTGCATGTTTGCCCGCTGCCAACGTCATCCGTGCAGGCAGAAGCAATCCTCTGCACGGAACTTGCTCGGTCTATTCCCGCACACTACCCATGCTCCCTCAGTTGACTTCTTCGTTGCACAATGACTTGGGATGAGTCCAGAAAGCTGCTCTCGCACAACATGAGCCAATTTGCGGCTATCCGAAGCCAGCGAGGCTTTCGGATCATCTTCGCGGCCGTCGCAGTCATGTTTGCACTTTCCATCTTCATGCTGCTTCCGCCAGCATCAACAACGACCAAAGTTCTCGGATTCGGGCAGGGACAGAAGCCCACGACTCAGTCATCTTCAGCTGAGGCTATCACGATAGATACTAGCCTTATCACCGATCTATCGCAATACTTCGCGGACTATCCCATCCAGAAACCCTTCAAGGAGAAGTTCGGCGAGCTAGGCCGCCGCAACCGAGTTCTTCGCGACTGGCTCATTCAAGCCGAAACCTCCCAGGACTCTACTACCCAGTCCATCTTACGCAACGCGATTGAAGAAGTCGCCATCGCGCAATACCCTTTCCTGCAACCTCCCAAGCAGACACAGTCCCACCAATCTAGATCTTCCCGTCACCCAGTACAAGACCTCCGCGCTTCCTTCGAGCCCAAATCTACCGGTATCGTCATCCCAACCAGCGACCACACCCTCCGTTATGCCGCTCACCTTATTGCCTCTCTTCGCTCTGTCCTCAACTCTACTCTGCCTATCCAAGTTGTCTACGCAGGCGATGACGACCTCTCCCCTACGAACCGGAACCACCTGTTGACTCTGGCTGCCTCTGGTCCCGCCATTACCTTCCTCAACATTCTCACCGTCTTCGATGACACAACCCTCAAGTTAAAAACAGGCGGTTGGGCCATAAAACCCTTCGCGGCATTGGCTTCCCCTTTCGAGAAAGTTATCCTTGCAGATGCCGATGCTGTCTTCCTACAACCCCCGGAAGCACTCCTCCAGCATGACGCCTTCGTCAACAAAGGTGCGCTTCTTTTCCACGATCGTCTCCTATGGAAACACGCTTTCGAGGGTCGTCACGAGTGGTGGCGGGATCAGATACGCCGACCCAGTAAGGAGATGGATGCCTCTCTTGTCTGGACGGAAGATTACGCCGAAGAAGCAGACTCGGGTCTCGTGGTGCTCGACAAAAGTAGGCCGGATACGTTCATGGGTCTTTTGCATATCTGCTGGCAGAATACGTACGATGTGCGCGAGGAAACTACGTATAAGATCACTTACGGGGATAAGGAGAGCTGGTGGCTGGGATTGGAATTAGCTGGTGCTGAGTATGAGTTCTCGAAGCACTACGGAGGCGTCGTTGGGTGGGAGAATGTTGATGATAAGGAAAGAGTCGGTGTATGTAGTTTTGTGATTGCACATGTGGATGCTAAAGGGCGGTTGTTGTGGTATAACGGGAGTTTGTTGAAGAATAAGGGACAGGTTGGTATGGAGGATGTCTATGAGGTTCCGGACAAGTGGATGATTGATGCGGAGTGGGTTAAAGGGGCGAGGAAACAGGACCATAGTTGTATGGTCGGTGGTGAGGTCAGGGAGCTTACGAGGCACGAGTTGGATGTGCTGCAGAGGTCGATTGCTGCCGCAAGGCAGGTGGATACGCTGGTGCGTACAAGTTGACCTTGAAATATTTAGATTTGCGTTGCTACTAGGCTCCCTCGGAGTTTTCAATTTGGCGATATACCCATTGCTTTTGCATGAAATCGTGCCTTCTTGCCGGCGTCGTCGTGACGATCGACCTGTCAAAAGTCTGCTGTTACTTTTGGCTGTAGAAATGCTGACTCGGTCTCGTAACCACAATACGACCTATGCTGACGTGACTGAGTGAAGGAAGCATATATTGTGTAAACTCATCTCCCCTTACGCTTGATATCAAATAACAGAGCTAGTTAATTCATGTGCGTGAAGTTCGGGATCCGACTCCCTATGTTAATAGAATGATTGATGTGAAGAGTTTGATTGCTCAATAACCCAAAACTCATGACATTCATAGGAGAGCACGAAGCTGACTTGCGCTTCGTGAATAACTAGCATCACCACGGCGTAATTCCATGCATGCCGTATTGAATCAATTACGTTCCATCACTGTCCTTGCAGCTTTAGTCAGTAATTAAATGCTTTTGTTGCTCTATATAAAGCCCGTCATGCTCCCTCTTCCTCTCCTCTTCTCATCTTCCTAACCACTCACACGGATCACAAATGACTCTGCCTCAAAGGTCAAAGATACCCTCAGAACGATTTCTTTCTCCATAAATTCTCACTTATCATATATTCAATATCTGCCAACCTTAGTCAACATCTACTCTTTGAAACTGACTGCTTAACTTGTGTGGCACAAGATATATCAGTTGCAATACCGACTTCAGTCGTCAACTAAGCCTCGTGATACCAAAGATATCTTGACAACTTCCTCAGACGGCCCTCAATCTTATTGCTCCTCTCTTATGATGTCTAAGATCCCAATATATGTGCAATATTGAGAAATACTCAGGGATACCATGCACGCTATCCTTCAGACACGCATTATATTACTCATATGTGACAAGGTCCGGGTCATGAGGCAACAAACTGCAGACACTCGAACCCATTATATTTTTCAAAAGATCGAATTGATGTGAAGGCAGGTACGACCCTTCCTGGCTACCACCATGGACTCTCATCTATACTCTTACGGTATCTAATTAGTCCTGAGCAGATATTAAGCGAATTAAGACACTCGTTGGAACTCACAATTGGTGAGACTGGGGTTCACAACAGACACAAGAGCCCTTTCATCTCATTCGGTTGATCGTCGTTATATACAGTCGCGAACACGTCGCTGGCGTCAGGGTTATACTATGATCTGAAAGCAAGAAGAACGCGTGCACTATCCTTCCAACCCTAAAAAAACGGTCGGCAATGCGGTACAGCTGCTGATTCACGACGAAGGTACCGAGCAGTTCGAGAAGAATGATTCGCTTCATATCGTCAGATGCGAAATCACATCTGCCATGACTGGTATTGCCATTGTCACTATAACGGCCGACCATTATATAATCATCTGCCTCGACGAAATGGGATCTGCCGCTGATCCGTCGTCGACTGCTCAAAAGAGATGGAGCTCGCCCAAAACACTTTATTCATCATGACTGTATTGGGCGACTAGGTTGAGCTTCATGTCTGCTCCGCTACAACAGACGCTACTCCAGACCGGCACTCTCCGACAATACGTCCTAATGGGGCAGCATATTAGACCTCTTAGCGACCGTGTATATCTATATACTCAATAACAGCAGCCGGTCACCAGATTAGACAAAGAGGTCATTCGGTCGCTAAGATCATTGGGTTTTTGCCCTGCTGGGTCAAGGCCTGATGAGCAAGACATGTCCCAGCATGTGCTTGTTTTGGGGCCCTACCTCGGCCTAAAGGAAACAGAGGAAGGGTCTTAAGATCTAGTAATTTATTGCTGAGGGTGAGGTCCACAGCCAGGTCCCTATAACCATCTCATGATGCCCATTATGGGAAATGCCGCTGTACATGCAGCTTCTGCTGTTCAGACTTCGTACAATTTCATTGCTGCAGCATATACTTTCTACTGAGTTGTCTGCTGATTTGGTGAATCCTATATCGTGTTTCCTATTTGATGAGAAAAATGAGGGATAGA